GGCAGGGATTATATAGATGGTGCCCAATATAATTCCTATTTCATAGTATTAATGTTGTTGCTGCTCAGGATTGTAATGTGACATACACACACACACACCATCCTTTAGCTACAGTGGCCAAATAACTCATACCTCTTTCACAACCAGAGTAGGAACCTGAACCGAGTGTGGCTGCTCTAAAATCCACTCCGAGCCCAAAATGGACACACGTTATAAACCATTAGCCACCCCTTTACTGGTTGTAACTGGGCCAGAGTGGAGGCCGTTACCAGCATGAAGACACATGTTGTTGTCACCAGCAAGAGAGCTGTATCTATATACATTTTGATGACAAGCATGGATTACTGAAACAAGCCTGTGTTCAGGAGACTGGAATCCTGATAGCTCAGCTTCCTCTCTGATGGACTGATTTCCCAGACACCTAAAAAGAGCATGAGGGCTCAACAGAGGCACAGACACAGGTCTGAGGGATGCTGTGTTGGCAGGAGAAAAGAGCCGGTGTGGCGTTTATCGAGTGATTGTAATGACATTCATAAACACTGAGTGTGAAGAATACATCTAGCCAGCACAGCTAAGCCTTTGAAGCTGAGCTCCCATGCATCAGGTGAACACCCTCGTTTCCCAACATGGGACAGGCATGTGTGCAGCAAAGCTCATGTTCTGTTGCTGTATGCAGTGTGTGTGACTCACACATGCACAGACACATATGAGTGTGTAATGAGAGAGCAGTCACATTGCGGAGGTGAGCTGTGGTGACACCAGAGGCTCAAACCTCCGACCCTTTACCTCACCGCATAGCTATGGCACCGAGCTCTCTCTGGTTACTGAGGTTAACGTTGGTTCACCTGTGAGCACACACACATACTCACACACACTTCCTGTGGATCTTCACTAACACCAGTGTAATGTAAAGCTCTATTGATACACAGATGCTCTGTTGGTTGGAAGCTGCATGGGACAGTGACGATGTTTGTCATTAAATTTAACATGTTTGAGCCCCTGCTGATTTCTAAAACAGCCCGACCCCCCAAATCGCTGCTGCTATTGTCATGCAAAGAATGGCCATTAAAGATTTTTTTCATCCAGATCAGTAGTTTCAACAGCCGACACAGCTGGTCTGCATATCACTCTCTGTGTGTGTTTTTCTCCTAGAACCTGACTGAGAAAGATAGAAAGATGGTTTGGGTTGGTGTCTTGAAGATGATTGTTGAGTCTCATTCCCAAAGCATCGGTATATGATACCCTAGGAATCAGACTCAACAATCAACTATCTTTCTTAGCACTGATTGGTTATTTTCGTTCAGGCCCGGTGGATTCTTGTAAATGCCATTTGGAGCAGTAGGAGGAGTCAGAGGAACCTGTTTTTATCTGTCTCGTGTACTACTGTCAGAATATAGTGAAAGTTTCAGCAAATATGACAAAAAAAAAATGTGTTCATAAAAATGACCTACTGCAGCTTTAAAACTACCACTGCCAGTTTGAATTTCCAGAGACTAGCTGGTAAAATGTTAAAAGTGAATGAGCGGGGAAAGCAGCAGGGACACTTGGTTGATCTCTGGATAAATGTTGAGAGGCACTGTTTTTTAATTTTTAAACGTAGTGTGAAACGTACAGTAGGTCCCCTGTATGAGCTGGTTCCCACAATGAGTATTATCTTGTCCTGGTAATCTGACATCTGTAAATATCAGGCTGACCCTCTTAATCTGCACTATATATAGAGAGCTCTGCTGATACTGCAGCTTCATGTAGATGTGAGAACAGAGCCTGAGCTGTGTGTGTCAGTTTGAGGTGTGGACAGTGGGTCAGCAGAGGTAGGGAGGGGTCCTTCTCAGCTAAACTGCTGCTCCTACTAGATAAGTCTCTGTTCAACCGCACTGACCATGACAAAGCAATCTAAAATAAAAAAACACCAAAGATAATGACTCACACAACCGTCCACAATTTACAAAACCTCACCCTCCCGCAGATACCATTGAAATTCATGCAGTATGTTAGAATGCAGCTGAACTAGTCTCCCTCTAAACTACCCCGTCCCCTCTCACTCCTTCATGCGTGCAAGCCTCTGGCCGGCCGCCCTGCCTCAGTGTGAGAGCCAGCGTGCTGATTTTGGCGCTAATGGTGCCATCCAAAGTTTTAACCTCTCTGTGTCTCCACTCCTTCCCTCTCCATTGCTCTCCTGCAGAGAAATTCAGAGCCTATTCTGTCCATCCTGCCAAAACCTCAGACTTTAGAGATAAAAAGTCCATTCTCCTAATGCTTTGACTGTGTGGTAGGTATCTTACTTTTGGGATGTTTGGATGACTGTCTCACATACTAATTCAGAACATCAGGAGGTTAACACAAAGAGGAAGCTGTGTGAGCTTGGAAAAGTACAATGTTATATATCTTTATTAGTGTCAAAGTGTGAATACTGCTACATTTGCAGGCCAATGTGTTTTCTTTAAAGCTTTTACCAGGGACTGTTTTAACACTGTTACTGTCTAAACACTGCTGCTTTTTAGATGAAACTGGATTCCCTGAGTGGTTTGGAATGTTGTTCAATAACTGGGTAGTTAAACACTATGTATATGTACTTATATTTTTCATATGAAATGCATAAATGCGACATCTCAGCAGCATCTAAAAGAGACCTATGTTGTATATGTAGTTGAATTGTGTTCCATTATCCCAACTTTCAAACTCAGAGAAATATGTCATTTTATTCAGGTAACATCCATCAAATATCACAGTACTACAATCTTAGAGCAGAAGAGTCAATTGGCTGAAGATAGATTATCTAGCAGTCTGGGATTAAAACACAAAAACACAAAATAAAGTATTCTTTGCATGTAAACTATGAATTAAAAATCAGTAGTAGTGTTTAGTAGTTTTTTTGAGAATCAACACTATCACAACACACAATATTGCGATACTCATTGATTCATACACAATATTTTCCTTATCATCTGTTTACAATTTCTGTCTGTCATGTCAGAATAGATTTTCATCAACAATGGTAGTCCTAGTCTCCCATGATCCTACACTAGTTCAAGGCATCATCAAGCTATGAATTTTGTTATTGTTTTGATGTGAGAGACGCCCTAGTGGCAGAAACTACATACTGTACGTTTAACATACAGTAGGAACTTTAGCTAGAAAAAAGCTCTAAGTGTCTGTTCTTCGCTGAGACATTGTTCCTGGAAAACCTGAATATATACCTAGACACTAGATACCACTGATGATGAGTCGGGGCTAAACCGACCATTTGATCTTTATAAGCTAGAGTCTGTGCTTACATGTTTGCTGAATGTTTAAAAAACGACCCACATGCCATCTCTCACTCCTCTCCTCTCAGATCACTATCCAGAGGGAAAGCGGCCTGGATGTCTCCACCCCAAAGCATGGCAAGATCGACCCCAACAACGCTCCTCACGTTGGGGGAAACCAGTGGGCAGGAGGCACAGGTAACCAGTGTTTCTTATAGGCACAGGAACATGCACAAATTCTATCTGTCCACAAACTGCTGATTGAAATCTGGGCTAACATTTTACACACACTTTACTTTGATTGATAGAATATAAGAAGGTGGATATATGAGGCAGCTGTGGTGTGCTCCCCTCCCACAGCAACTGCTTAATTGCCCTTGGGCAAGGCACTAAACCTCCCTCTGCTGAACTACTTGAGGGCATACCACCACTATGGCCGGCCTTATAGTACAGTAGATTAGACCGACCCTATTGAGCTACGAACAGCTCACAGAGGAGGCAGGTTTATGAAGAAGATTATTTATTTTAGAACCGGTTCAGGAACCAGATCTAATTTGGTGGAAAAGGGGTCCTCTTGGTCCACTCGTCTATTCCCAATAGTTCCAGTTTGGAGCCACGATTGCAGTGTTTTTGAACCATTCATTTTACCTTTTGCTTACTATCTTACCAACATGTTTTAGCTCCTAACTAATCATGGATGTACACTATAGGCCAAAGGTTTGGAAGCAAGATCAAATATGTACAAAAAAAGATCATAGTTTCATTTGTATTACATTGCAACAAAATAAACATGATTATTATATAAAGAGTCACTTATCAGAATACATTTTTACTATAATTATCAGGTATTTGGGTTTTTCTTGCTTTCTTTGCTATCATCAAAGTAACCTCCTCTGGCTTTAACAACAGCATGGCATATACGAGGAATTCGTTCCACAAGTTTTTTAAGATATGTGCCAGGAATTGCATTCCAAGCTTTCTGAGACTGCTGATTCATGGGACGCACTTTTCTGACTGATTGATCCAATTCGTCCCACACAAGCTCAATTGGAAAGATGTCTGGAGACTGAGGGGGCCAAACCATCTTTCAAAGAACACCTTCCTCTTCTTTTTTGTCTTCCCCTGACAGAGCTTGGAAGAATGCTTAGGGTCATTATCTTGCTGCAAAACAAACTTTCGACCCACAAGTCTTAGTTCAGATGGAACTGCATGATGCTGGAGGATGGAGTGGCACTGTTCCTTCTTCATGATACACTTTACTTTAAACAAATCTCCTACTCTATCACCTGTAAAACATCCCCATAACATGGCATTACCACCTCCATGCTTTGTTGTGGGTGTTACGCATGGTGCTTTAACACAATTCAACTACAGTTTGCGATTTTGAACCAAATAGTTTAAATCTGCTTTCGTCGGTCCAGAGAACTTGTTTCCAGTCATCATAGGTCCAATTTTTGTGTGCTTTTGTCCACTCATATCTCTTTTTCTTGTTATTTGGTAGTAGTGTTGTTGTTTTTTTGCAGATACACAGCCCTTCAGACCAGCCTTTCTCAAACGTCTTGTCAGAGATATGAGTTTTGACCTTGTCATGTTGATTTCCTCCCTTATTTGTGGTGCTGTTTTTCGATGATCTCTCTTACTTGGGGCGGCAGTAGCTCAGTGTGTAGGGACTTGGCGACCGGAGGGTCGCCGGTTCAAGTCCCACACACCACAA